CAGAAGGATGAGGAAGAAGGATTCCAAGTTCAAGGCCAGCTTGGGTTACATGGTAAGTTCAAGGCCAGCCCGGATTGTACAGCAAGACCTAATCTAAAAAATAAGTAAATAAATAGTACCAGTGAATACTATTAAAAACTTGAAAGTCTACTTGTAATGGGGCCAGACTAAGAGGCCCATCAACTATAGTTCACCTTCACTAGAAGCAGAATCGGTAAATCATTTAATGTACTCTAAAAAAAAAAAAAAACAAAAAAGGAAGTGTTTATTTTAAAAAATGAGTTCCTGTCTTTAAAGACATATGCTAAAATATTAAGTATAGAGTACTACGACATCGGGGATTCACTTCAAAATAACTGGGATCAGGGAGTGGCCAATGTCAATGGAACAAAACTGGCCATGAGCTGGCAGTGGATGGAGCTGGGTGATGAACATATGGGAATTTATCAGGCTGTTCCCTTCCCTTGTGTTTATGCTGGGAATTTCCTATAATAGAGTTAAAGTTATACAGAGAATTATACCCTTTCTATAAAATTAGTGAGATAAGTCAGCTACAAAAAGCCAAGTACAACATGCTTCATATGAGGTATGGAAAGCAGTCAGCTTCATGGAAGCAGAAAGGCGGCTCTCGGGGACACAAGAAGAAGGAACTTCTTCCGGGTCACAGAGCTCCAGTTCTGTGCTATGAAAACATCTGGAGGTCAGTTACACAGCAGTGGAAACCCCCTGAACCGAACTGTGCACTTAGTGGGGAAGTGGCAAGGCAGATGTTACATGTATTTTACTACAGTTAAAAATAAAAATAAAATTTAAAAGAGTTTAAAAGGATTCAATTATTTTTTCTTTTGGTACCAGGAATCAAACTCAGGACCCTGCGCTTGCCAGGCAGGCACTGTGCTGCTGAGCTCTCTCGGCCCAGGATTGAATTTTAAAAGGATCTTGACAATGAAACAAAATAGGAAGACTAAATGGAGTTAAGCTTTTTTAAAAATATTATAAGAGAAACAGAAGTTCTAACCAATAGAAGTTTTTCTTTGCAAAAGACAGCAAATCATACATGTCATCTTTTGAATGCACTGTTATTTAAATGTTTTTTGTACTTTTAATTATAAAAATTATTTTTAAAAATATGAAAAAGGGCAATACGAAAATTAATCATAATCCCATTGTCACTGTTAGGTGAGAATGATCTTTCTTTATATGTGTGTGCATATTTCACTGTATTACTTGTCTGTTTTAAACAAAATTATAATTACATCATCCATAATTTTGTTTGCCTGTTACACTCTAAACTGTTTCCACAATTCTGAAATATTATTCATGAACATGATTTTTTAATGGCTACAAGCTAGTTAAAGTCTAAGTTGAATTAAATACATTTATTATTATTTCAACTCTTTCTGTTAATATGCACACCTGTTAACTATCACAGCTATATAAAATAAAATCCATGTTTTATATGTGCACATATAAAATCCACTGTAGCGTGCAACCTGATATACTGTACTGAGTTCTCTCTCCCTCCCTCTTTCTGTAGTGTAGGGGAGGGAACCCAAGACCTCACACATGCTAAGCAAATGCACTCCACACCCTCCTGAGCCCTCTCTTAATCATGCCAGGAAACACTGCTTACTAATTTGCATCAAAGGAATTTAAATGGTGGGCTCTCTCTTTGGCATGGGGTAGGCTTAACAGGGAAATCATCATATTTTGAAAAGTTGTGGCTTTTTTTTTTCTTATTTGTTTCTTAAAGATTTAGAAAACAAAAGATTATTTCCTATAGAAACAGCAAATCTTGCCGGCTTCAACTGAGTCTGCCCCTCTGGAGTGAATCTCAACATGACTTGGGAGTACCAACCCAGAAGGTCACAGTCATAGAACTGGGGACAACAGGGCCCAACAGACAGGCAGAGGCAGACTCGGGACAACAGCTCAGGCTCAGGCTCTGTGACAGCAAGGGGCACCCCACAGACAAGAAGAGTTAGAGAAAAGGCTTTTTTAGAACAGGCAGAAGGCAACTAAAAATAAAAATTCCCAAGCCTATGACTCTGATCTACTCCTCCAAAGTACAAAGTGAACTCATTAAAAGGGGCAGGTTATGGCCACCAAGGGAACAGACTGAGAGCCCCAACTCTACCCACAGCTTCGTCCTCCATACCTCAGTGCACGGGTATCCTCAGCTATGAGACTTGTGACCGCTCATCACCTCCTGCTTTGTCTGCCTTGCTATAGAGGTGATGGCCACACTAAAACAAGCTGTACCCACACATTGAGGTGCTCTGCAGTCCCAGCACTGCCCGGGAGCAGTCCATGGACAATCACAGCACACAGTGTGAGAAGGCCAGCGACCCAATGCTAGTATAGTAGCAACACAGGACTCTGACTTTATATTTTCTGGAGTTTTTTAACTGGTTTGCTTTTTCTTTACTTTTTTTTTTGTTTTAATGTACTACAAGTAGATATTAATAAAGAAAGTATCACAAACACTCTTCTTACTTCTATGAAAAATAAAATAAAATTTCATTGCAAAATAGAAACTAACAATGGTTCATATACTGTGTGGCAGGACCTTAAAAGGAATGGCCAAAATGTTACTCAGAGTACAAGTCATAAACAAAAAAAAGATTCTCTCAGCCAAGCAGGATGGTGCACACCTGTAATCCCAGCAGTCGGGAGGTTGAGGCAGGAGGATTGCCACAAGTTCAAGGCCAGCCTGGGCTACGTAGGCCAGTCTGAACTACATAGCAAGACCCTATGTCAAAAAACAAAAAACAAAAAAATTCCTTCTTACAAAGAAGAAACAAAAAGACAAAATTTTCTCCTAAAGAAACTAACAGTATAAATAGGAAATAGAAAAAATTTCAAGAAACTCCCCAAATCATCTATTCTGTTCCTTCAAAAACATTATAAGATAAATGCTAATTTGCTTCATTTACTTTTCTGTTTTTACTGAATATTACAGCATAATCATGAATTGCTTTCATTATCCTACTTTTTTTAAATCTGCCTAAGTGGAACTCAAACTCTATTTTCTACAAGACAAGCTAAATTTAGACCAGATTTGACTTTCAAATCCAATCACCAACAGAAATAATGTGAGTAAAATAACATCTTAAAATTAACTTTTCCTGATCAGATATTCCATCTCCTCAGCAAAGGCACAACTGAAAACAGTGAGCATATTCTCAGCATGGCTCTAAATCACCAGGGTGTTGGGGGCTCATTTCAATACCCCAGAGGCCACCAGGCATGGTGGTGCACACCTGTAATCCCGGCACTCAGGAGGCTGAGGCAGGAGGATCGCTGTGAGTTTGAGGCCGGCCTGAACTGCATAGTGAGACCATGTCTCAAAAAGACAAAAAAAAAAAAAAACAAACACTGGAAGCCTCAGGTGTCCCAAGTAAGGGGACTGAAGTAAATTAGGACTCTGCAAAGTACAAGTGTAAGTGGTAGATCACGGCAGGAGGTACAGCAAGGAACATTTTTATTTTAATGGTACAACACAAACTAGCCAGTAAAATATGAATCCATTTAAGAAAGAAGAAAAATTACGGCACAAAAACACCTTTTGTTCTCCTGTCACATGGAGGGAGACGTCTATGGCCATGCTACATACATTTAGTGAAGAAACTATAGGGTCTATGTTGCTGGCCCAACAGGCTGCTGGGAGAAGAAACACAGCACTGTGTCTGCATCAGGCGGCTCAAGCTGGTGAAATGACGATCATCTCTGGCGCCCCGTGGTGACAACGTGCCTACAGACAGATGGAATAAAACTTTGAGTTAGGTACTCCATGGCTGTGGAGAAACACTGTCAGCACCAAGTCACTGTTACTATAAAAATAAGTCACTCTTAAAACCTCTTAAGAATCACATCTTGAGGACAGTCTGTCTTAAAAAACAAACAAAAAACACACAATAAAACATGTGACTGTTCTGATTTAGAACTAACAACTTAAATGTCCATGCTAGCCAGAAAAGCTATAGTTCTTTCATGCAATGAACGTAGCCATCTAAGGAAGCAGATCCAGCCAGGCGAGGTGACGCACACCTGTACACCCAGCACTCAGGGAGGCTGAGGCAAGAGAATCATAAATTTCAGCCCAGCCTGGGCAACCTAGTGAGACTTAGTCTCAAAATAAAAAATAAAATGGGTAAGGATGAGGCTCAGTACACAAGCCCTGGGTTCAATTCCCAGTGCTGCCAAGAAAAGTTAAGCACATACACAAATTTAGTGCCTTTTCCACCTTGACAAAGCATTTATCACATACTGGGGCTGGAGATTTAGCTCAGTGGCACAGCGCCTGCCTGGCAAGCACAAGGTCATGAGTTTGATTCCCGCTACTGGAAGAAAAAACAAAACAAAACAAAAAACAAACAAACAAAAAAAGGGGCTGGGGATTTAGCTCAGCAGCACAGTGCCTGCCTGGCAAGCACAAAGTCATGAATTTGATTCCCAATACTGGAAGAAAAAACAAACAAGCATTTATCACATAATGAGTCTGGAAGGAACCCTTGCATTTTGAGGTGTGATAATAAAACTAGGACAACTCGCTTTTTCTTCCTTCACAATTTCAGGAAGGAAGGAAGAGTGGGAGAAGGGAAGACAGGAAAGGGGAGGCACCCAGCTCTGTCCACACCAGGGTTTCTGTGTGTCTTTACCCAAACCAAGTTCAGCAGTCTACATGGGGCAAACGGCGCTCTCTGCTGTATGCAGCTGTCAGTGCACTTATTTGGAAGACTGCAACTTAAGCTGGCGAGGAAACCGAGATGCCAGTGCCTAGGCACCCCACCCTTTATGCTTACAAAAGCGGGAAGGCAAATGTGTGAATACATTTCATAGATTAACTCCAGAAGTACAGTATATGCAAGAAACTAGGGTACTAATGGTCTCCCCTAGAGAAGAAAACAGCAGCCAGGCATGGTGGCACACACCTGCAATCCCAGAACCTGGGAGGCAGGGGCAAGAGGACTGCCATGAATTCAAGCCAAGCCTGAACTATAATAGCTCAAACTCTGTCTCAAGAAGAAAAACAAACAAGAGACACAGAAAGAAAATAGGAGCATTTAAGGTTGGATACGAGGCAGTGACTTTTCTCTACTGATTTGGATTTCTTTTTCACCACATACATGCATCATTTTTTAAAAATGTTTTAAGACAGCCATAGCCGACTGAACCCACAGGCAGCGGTGTCAGGTGAGGAAGAGGAGCCAGGGATGGGAGGAAACAGGACTGTTGCTGACAAAGGAGTGCAGACACTTCTGAGCCCTGCAGCCCTGGAGAAGGGATGGGAGGTAGGATAGCCCTTGAAAGAAACGGGGGAGAGAAAAGGGGTTTTATGGGTGCTGGGTTTGAAAAACAGAAAACCAAAGCGTGACAATGACAGCTGCTTCACCATCAGATACCAGAAACGATCTTAAGCAGAATAAGAATGAATTTGGCTAAGGAGAACAATGATATTCAATGGTTGTGGTAAGTGATGGAAATATCCCCACTGCATCCAGACACTGAAAAATAAAGGGATAACTTCCTTTGATCACTGGAGATCATTTAATCCAACCTCTACATTTCACAGACTAGGAAACTTCAGTCTAGGAGGTCAGACTTGCTGGATGTCACACGACTGGTTAGCGGATGGGATTGGAAACCCAGATAGCTCAGGTCCCAGCGCTGCCATCACTGGCTGTGTGATCCTGAACAGGTCCCTCAGCCTCTCCAGACTCACTCCATCAGCTACCAAGCAGGACTGGTAGCCTTCTTACAAAAGCTGGTGTGAGGACTCACCAAGACAAAGTGTTTATGCTTAAACCACAGTAACTACTCAATACTTGGTAGCCACTATTTTTACAGCCTTGAGTTGTGACTGTGCAATCATAAAAGATTTGAAAACTATGTGACTCTGCAATTCCATTATAAAGATTGTGCTTCATTCATTTACATCTTAAAAACTGTAAAAGTGCGGGATGTGATGGCACTCACCTGTAATCCCACTGGGGATCACCTGTAAACACTAGGGAGGCTGAGGCAGGAGGATCACTGGGAGTTCAAGGCCAGCATAAAGCAACATAGTGAGTTCAAGCCAGCCTGAACTACATAGCAAGACCTTGCCCCTCTCCAAGAAAAATTACAGAAGCAACTCTAATATTAAATCTTATGAGAAAAGTCAATGAATCTCACCATTGCTGAGAGTCGTAGTCTTTGATGCCAAAACGGAAACTGTTGGAAAGGCGCTTAGGGAAAGCTGCCTGGACCAAAAATGACCTGTAAATTAAAAATACTCACATAAATTAATAATGATATATTTCTACATGAAACTGAATAATTTAAATAGTCACCCTGAGCATATTAATATTTATAGAATAAAAGAACTGAGACAAGTGACCGAGTGATTTCTTGGCTCCATAACACTTTCCAAGTGACATCACACCCCACCTTCCCCCTTCCCCCTCACATCCAACTAAAACTGAGCCTCTGAGTCTCAAAATCATCCACCCAGCCAGGCCAGGTGGCACACTCCTGCAAGCCCAGTTCTTGGGAAGCTGAGGCAGGAGGATCATTGCAAGTTCAAGACCAGTCTGGGATACAAAGTGAGTTCAAGGCCAGCCTGAACTACACAGCAAGACCCTGTCTCAGAGAATAAAACAAAACACCAAACCACCATGAGCTGCACTCTCCGCTCTGGCCTTGCTGCCTGTCTCTGTCCAGACCTCCCATCCATCGCTCAGGCACAGGGAAACACAGGTCTCCTAACAGGTCTCCGACTAGTCTAAGTCACCCACTGCCTTTCTAAAATGACAGATGCAGTCACTTCGCGGCCCTGACAGCTCCTTGGGCCCCATGCTGCCTGGAGAACAAAGTGGAAAACCATCGGCATAGCCAGCAGCACTGCCCCTCCACCCTTCTCCCTGTCCTCCCTCGGCCAGAGATGCAGTCAGTCTCGAGCTCCAGGACACTTCTGTGTCCCCCATGTCCGCCCGGCCTGCCAACACCTCAGCTCTTGGTGAAGCCTCCCTGTCCCCTCCGAAGCCCCGCAGCCCCAGGCCTTGACCGTCCAGTCCCCTGCAATCTTTCTTGAGGTATGCAGCTCTGGAACCCACTCTGACTCCATAGTACTCCACCGTGTACGAATATCAGTTTTGGTTTTTGTTTTTTGGGGTTTTTTTTATTTGTTTGTTTTTGTACTGAGAATCGGTACTTTGGAGCCAGGTGCTGTGGATGTGAAGCCTTATTCCTTAGTCTAAACTGTTTGCAATTTTCTTAATCTCTGTGGGTCTTAACCCACACATCTGTTAAAAAGAGAAAAATATTAATAGAATCTACCTCGAGCGGCACTGGAAGGAAAGCTAGCTCCCCCACCCGCGCCCCCGGCTATTTGAAAGACTTGTGAAAGATGACAGATGGTCACAACAGGGGCAAAAGAAAAGAACGTTCAGGGCAGATTTTCCGCCAAATGACTGCAGGTCAAGTTCTACAGCAAAATGAGCTACGGAAACGAACTCTTCCGTTTTTAAGAGTCTCTGGGTTTTGCAACTACAAATGCTGGGCTGTGGACTTTCAATGAAATAGAGCCAACAGCAGGCAAAGCCAATCAGGAAGCGGTTCCCGGAGGTAACGGTGCTGGAGAACAGCAGATCGCCCTTCCCGGGGCCCGCCCGCAACCAGCGAGGGGTGGGGAGGGGCAACGGCAAAGGCGCCGTCTGACATTCTGGGCGCTTCTCCCTGTGACAAGAGCACCGATCACCGCGGGATCCAGAACAACGAACACTACTCCCACGACTCTCCCGGCGAACTCCGCCGGGGGCCGCAAGCCCCAAACCCAGGGGTGACCCCATCCCGCTCCTCTGCACAGAGGATACACAGTTCCGTGAACTGAAAAGAGCCCTGTCAACAGCGTCCAGCTCAAGCTTAGCACCTCACATTCCAGGGCCCAGGGGCGGACAGAACGTGCACAAGGTCACACAGCGAGCGCGGGAGGACGGGAAATCGGCGCAAAGGACCAGCGGCCGCAGCGTCTCGCTGCCCTCCCGCTGGGTTTCCGACAGACCCGAGAGGAGGCCCGCACTCCCGCGCGCTCAGAGCCCCCAGTTCCCGCACTCACCCGTCGGGCCGCCGTACAGGGTAGGCAGGCAGCACACAGCGCGCACAGCCGCCGCCATGCTGGCGCCTCGGCAGCTCCCCGCCTCCCTTTAGGGCAGCCCTTCCTACCGCCTGCCGCGACTGCTCCGCGTCAGGCACTGGACTCAGTCCGCGTGGATGCTGAGGGCCCAAAACCCAAGCCCCAGCTTAGGCGGAGCGGAAGATTGTCAGACAGGCCCCAGGGTGAGCTGAATCAGGCGCGGCTACAGACAGCCCTATGGGGGTCTTCGCGCTAGGACCCGGAGGCGGAGCTTGAGGTGGGTGTGGGCGTGGCCAGCGCTCGCTGTTTTATCCTGCAGCAAGTGGGTCCTCTGGGTTTCCCGAGTCTCGGGCGCACCCTGTCGAGGTACTCTCGAGCGCTAAAAAGGCTAAGTGGTAAGAGGATCCAGGCATAAGACAGACACAGGGCAAGGAAGTTGGCAGCCAACTCCAGCAAAGCTCTGAAATTGATTAGATTAGACGCTTAAATTACCTTAGGTTTCACGCGCATTTGTGTGTTCATTCTGATTTTAACGTTGGCGCACACGCAGATCCCAGCCCTGGGCCGTGACTTTTCCTTCTCCCACCGTCTTGGCTGAATGCAATCTGCGCTTGCCCGAAGGCTCCACTTAGATGGAGAAGATCGGCCAGTAAGCAAAGGAAAAGGCAAGCTTTTGTGGAGTTACAGGGATAAGCTGGAGTCTGTTTATTGTTTCACTTCTGGTTCTAAAAGGTGGCTCCAGAGAAGTCTTTATTGCTTCTGGGGACAATCTGGTTCCCATGAGATGACTGCTGCTGCTTGAGGTGTGGAGGGGTGCCGTCTTAGTTCTGTGAATCCAAAGTGATTGCAGATTTTGGACAGTGACTGGAGAAGTCTAGACACCCATTCCAGGCGGCCTTAAGCAGGACATTGTAAAAGCTGGCAGTTGAATGTCCCCGAAAATCACTTGTCTTGGCATCATCGGTCTTGAAGGCAGAAGAGATAAGTTAGGTAAACTTAGGGCCAAGAAACCCTGCATTACCAATTTTAGGCACTCCTTAAACGACTAATGTGCAGAGCTGAACAGGGATCTGAACCAAAGTTTTAAAGCAATAAAAGAGACAAATATAAAATGGAGGCAGAGATGTCAAGCTTTGTCCTGTTTTAAGTGACCCACTGGGCATATGTAGGCCAAGTGAAGAATCACTGCTTTTTTTTCTTTTAACCAAAAACAGCTTTTAAGTGCCAGAATGCTTCACAAGAAAATATAAATCATGCTTTTAATGAGTGGTAGTTTCTTTGTCCTTTGTCCTTTTGTGTTGATCCTAACGGTTTTATTTTGCCATCTAATTTATTCTTGTTGATGCTATGGTGAAGGGGAGACAAAAAAAAGACTTGTCATGTACATGTACCAACTCCTCACAGTGAATGTAACCATTATGTACTGCAAACATGTACTAATAAAAATAAAGATCTAGAAGAAATTACATATCTTAGTTACTTTACTTGTCAGTGGGACACAATACTTAAAGGAGGAAAGGCATAGTTTGGATCACAGTTTGTAGAGGTTTCAGTTTGCAGTTGGCTGGCGTGAAGGCAAGAAAGGGCATGGTAGGGGCTGGGTATTTAGCTCAGCGGCACAGCGCCTGCCTGGCAAGTGCAAGGTTATGAGTTCGATTCCCAGTACGGGGGGGGGGGGGGGGGGCAGGGCAGTGGAGAAATAGCTCATGGCCTGGTAGACAGGAAGCAGAGATCAAGGGAAAAGGGAAGGAGATAGATCCAGGCCACGCCCCCAACGACCCACTTCCTCCAACCAGGCTTCAACTTCCAACATCATATTTAAAACAATGGGCTAATCCACTGATAAGTATCAGGCCTCGATGATCCAATCACCTCCAGAAAGTCCCACATATGAGCGCATGAGGCACTGGGGAATCAATAGATATAAAATGGATAGGTACATAGATAGATTCCTGCTTCTAATTAGCTCACCCCAGCTTTCATATGCTAACAACTTCTAAGCAGAGCATATTTGATGCTCCTTTTTTCCCATTATAAAGTTTTCTCACAACGTGGGTATGTTTGGGTATCTGCCACAAGTGATGGTGGCTGACAACCTTGCTATAGAAGTCTGAATAAACAGCCACTGGTTGTTCTGATTTGGGAGGTCTATCTTTACAAGTATGAAACCCTTCATCTTCAAGAGGGAGAAAACCAAGACCCAGAAAAGGTCATAGATGTGACCCTACTCCCTCATGCTGCAGATTACTGGCATAGAGTCCTGGTATTGCTTCTTCGTTCTAGGTAACAGAATCCCCACATTTTAGCCACTGCTTCCCAGAACAAAGAACAATTTCAAGTCTCACTTGCCATTAGCCATGGCCCTGTGACTTAAGTATTTGCAAGTGGTCTATAACAGAAGAGATGTGTTGCAGCTGTTAATTGCAGAATCTCTAAAGCACTGCATGGCCTTAATGTCTGTGACATATTTGAGTAATAATTGAGGAAACATTTTCCTGTTAATTTGTTTGAAGGTGTTAGCTTGTATACTAAAGAACTTGGCTGGCCTTTGTCCCTAATTCCTTGGAATTTCCTGAGCAGTGGGAGTAGGCAACACCTAATAGTTTATGCTCATAACAAGATGGCAACTGGCCATGCAAGATACGAAATGATTAGAGGGTTGGGTCTTTGGGCCCTGTGAGACCAGTCCAGGCTCTAATTTTAGTATATATGCTACCAAAGCAAGCACCAGTCCAGGGTCTAAGAGGAGGGGAGCTGAGACAGAGTTCAGCTGAGTGGTCAATGACCCAATCCATCATGCCTGTGTAATGAGAACCCCCCAAATAAAATTCTGGACCCCAAAGCTCAGGTAGGAATCCCTGGTTACACTGCTGTGCACCTTGGCACATATCAGTAGCCATCAGAGGAACATATTCCTGTGGAACCACAGCAACTTTGCATTAGGGATGCTCCCAGACCTTAGCTTATGCATCTCTGTCTTAGGCTACATCTGATATAAAGCTTTTGTTAACTATAATACAATTACCGTACTAAACATAGCACTTTCCTAAGTTATGAGAGTTATTCTAGTGAGTTATCTACCTTAGAAAGGTGGTGGGAACCCTTGAATTTGTAGCCACGTGTCAGAAGTGAAAGTGTCCTAAGGACCCCTGAATTTATGGTTGGTGTCTAAAATGAGGGTGGCTATTGTGTCCTTTTGATACCAGATACCATTATGGTGCTATAAAATTACAAAGCACTGAATGTCTATATACATCCACACACCAACCTTCCCTAAAAAATAGAACAATGCTAAACCTCCATATTTGAATTTGAAAAATAACTACGGCAAGCAGCATTGCATTTTTCTAAGAAAATATTTAATTGGTAGTTTTCTAGAAGGATAGCTCTTTGTTTATACAGAAATACAAAGTCAGAAGTGTTATACTATGAAAACCTGGACAATACCAGTTATTTTTCAAATTAATACATTGTTCATGCTCACCTGCTGGGCACTCACTTCTCAGAGGAAGCAAAATGTGACCTGCAGAAGCTCAGCTGGTCGCCTGGTTCAGGAGACAAGAAAGTGATGAGACAGTGAGAAAAGTATTTAAATAGATCAAGATAGTGATGAGTTATCACAAGTCCAGTTACCCTCCATTTAAAAAAGAAAACATGGAAACAACAAATATTCTTCCCATTACAAATGGGGAACATATAACTACACCAGCATTCACGGAACCCTTCCTGAGGAAGAGTAGGTGCTCAGGGTGCAGACTAATAGTGTCAGCCGTAGGGAGGTGGAGGTGGCAGTTCAGCTGACAGTTCAGCGGCTTATGGAAATGTCTGCAGAATGGGCAGTGCAGAGCAACATCTGTGGCACAGCAAGCAAGGCAGTGTATTGCTTTAGACTTCTCAGGAGTAGCAGGAGGCTGGGGCAAACTGACAAGAATATTAAATGCCAGACTAAGTGGGACTTTGTCTCAGAGGCATTGTGGGGAATTTCTGAAAAGGGCTAGGTAGTGGATTCCAGCTGATCTTACAGGGTAACATGGCAGGGATACACAAAGAAAGGGACAGATTCTAAGCAAAAACTGCTCACAAAATTGTAAGCATCCAGTGACTTGGTATGAACTGGTGTGAGTGAATATTAGAGAACAGCACTTGATAAAAAAGGAAATGGAACAAATGAAACTAATAGAAAAAAACATTTTCTATTTCCCCGTGAACCTTGGCTGTCTGGTAAGAAACACATCTGATGTCTCAGTTCTAAGACTGGAATCTTGACCTGCTGCCTCCTGCATACCTTCCTACCTGCTACCCTCTACTGTGGCCACCTCTTAAGACATTTATAGAGAGCCTTTCCTGGTCCTCATCACAGCCCAGGAAGTTTACATTTGTAATAACCATGAAAAGTTATTGGAATTCTAGTGAGTTAATTTCTACCACTTCCAGTGCAATCCATAGCAAGAATAAAGACACTAAGGCATATTTGTAGTTATGGGGAGCCAAGGGGTCCTAAGTCCAGCCATGATGATAGCTACCCTTGGCCTCCAGCCAAGGCCTAACCCAGGTTTTATTCGTTTATGAAGAAGGGAGTGGTTTGAGGATGAGTGACGGTGAGAATAGTGGGAAATAGGTGAGTGCCATGAGCTGGGCTAGGTAGGAGGCCCGAAGTCACTTCTGCAGTACGCAGAGAGAAGGATATGCAGAAAGAGTAATCTGCATAACACAGTTGAGATAGCATCTAATGTTTTGGGGTCAGTGCTTCAACTCTGATGTGTAATCCTTCAAGCCCCGGGAAGACATAGCCTTTATCTTGAGGCTCAATCCCAGCCAATGGTGTGGAGCATTGGCTCTACATCCCATCTTGTCCCGGCTCACACAAGGGAACAACGGGTGAGAGTGTGGGGAAATACACCTGCCGTCTTCAAAAACTACCGTGAGCACCTCACTTAGACCAATATACATTGCTTAAAGCCAATTGAAAGGATAAGAAAAAGTCCTAGCCAGCTCCAAACATATCAATACATGGAAAGAGGGTCAGGCTCAGCCAAAATGGAGACAATGGCTCCTCTTTCAAGGAGAGTCACCCAGGTGGTCCTCCACAATACTGACATCCAGCTTGCTTGCATGGATTCACATTGAGTTATTTCTTGAATTCTGGGCTCACATTCCTCATCTGGACTTTAAATGAAGGACTATCCTAGTGCTGAAGACCAGCTTGACAAAGTACAGAGCAGGCAATAATTAATATTAATAAATTAGGCCAAAAATAAATTGAAAATCTGTCCTAAGCCTAATTGACTTGTGGCAAGACCCTCAGCTGGCTTAAGGACAGATTAATCTTTAAGCCAAGGTCCAGAA